ATAATAATAAAATGATGACGAGCTCGGGTTTACTCAAAATCACAGGTTGAAATTTTTGGAGGATCAAACATATAAATCGGACGAGTCAATTCAGATATTTTGAACCGAAAAGCTTTTGCGCGCGCGATACCAGAGAGAGAGAGAGAGCACACACAAAGATGTGTTGCGCAAATCTATTCCGATTAAAAAAGGAGAAAAACCTTTTGTTGATGCGATCTCATATTATATTTTTTTTTAAACTAAAATAGAAGCAGTTCAAGAAATCAATTTGGTTTTTTAGAGACATGTGAAATGATCATAACTCTGTCAATCAAATCGAGTTCTTTCTCAACTTAGTGTCGATAACTGATGTGGGTAATGTGTATCGTGTGTATAAAATTACCCTTTAATTGAGCCTCGTTTTAATTAAAAAAAGATCTGCTAACAAAGTTTTTGTGTTCAAACTACACCCCCCACCAAACAAATAACATTACTAGTTAGTACAACGCGCTAAAAAGAGGGAGCCACTTGTAAATTTGCTCTTCTGCTACGTGAGCTCCGAAACACTCCAAAATCTTCGAATAAACAGTTGTCGTCGTTTCGTCGCGTCATTCGCGTCAGTGGAGTTGGGAGTTAAAACGCACAAGCTTCTTTCTGTGCAGTGAATTTTATCTTCATGCATTTGTCGTCTCGAATGAAGTTCGCGTGCGTATCGCGTTGACGTAACACGTAATTTGCCAATGGATAATATATTTACGACTGCATCATCAGCAGATGAGCTCCTCGGAGAGAGCTAACCTAAAAGTTGTGCTTGATACGCGCAAAACGGCAACTCTCTCCAGCAGCAGAAGAAGCAGACCAAGTTTACATTCTGCACGTTATATATATGCAGATGAATCAACGTTGATGCATCGTCCGGAACTCCCATCTCTCCCGTATGCATGAGAACCCGGGACCAACAACCATCTCTCAGGAGTACATTAATTTCTACACGTAGAGCGTCGCAAGGGGTGTGTTGTGTATGTGCTGTTGGCTGCGCGCGTACCGTGCGTGTTATATAGTGTAGTAGCCCTGTCAAGCTCGCGAGGAGCGCCACCCCCCAAGAAAAGCACTCTCCCCATGGTCTAGTATATATTATAACTACAGAGTTCTCTCTCTCCTCCCCCGCGCAGTCAAGACTACTATATCTCCGGAGCTATATAGCTACGTCCTCGTCGGAGGTGGCAGAGAGTGCGCGATCGAAAAGGGGTGTGTGGGTGCATCAACAGTGTGTGTGTGTGTGTGTTGTTGTTCATAAATATATATATATGGTATGTGTGTGTGTGCGCCCCCCCCCGTAGGTGGTAGGGTGGCAGGGGGTACGTAGTAGTACTACAGTGCCCGTACTTGTACCCGGTGCTGCGAAGGGCGGCGAGAAAGAGCGTCTGCACCGTCACCCCAGCAGCTGGCCCATCGTCAGCAACCACCCCTCGTCTTATATAGACATATACACTTTGGAACGGTGAGAGAGAGAGAGAGAGAGAGGGACGAGCCGGTAGCTTTGCTCACACCCGGGGCAGGGCTCCAAAGCACCGGGTGGTGGAAGGAAAGTGCAGCACCGACACATCAATTGATCGCTTGAATATAACGAAACCTCTGCAGAGACATCATCGTCGTCCAACACGAGAGAAAACATATACATCTGCTCTGGTGCTCCTATTGCTCCTGGCGTGTGTGGTGACCGTACCTCCATATCATATACCTACCAACGTATATCTGTGCGAGTGCGCGAGGTGTGTATCTCTCCTATCTATCTGGTATATAGCTGATAAGCTGGTGGTGGTGGTGGTGGTGGTGATAGTATATAAATTATCGCGCATCATGGAGGGCGAGGTGAAGGCAAGAAGAGCCTTGGCTTGCCGGCAAAGGCAGCCCCGGTCCCAGGAGGTGCCAGCCGGCCCGGCCAGCACTCTAACAGGGCCTCGCATTTTTCCGGCATGCAATGAACAACAGTTTACAAAATAATTAAGTACATTTACCTCTAAGGAACATGAAAATATTTTTACTCCAGAAATATGGAAAAAAATTAGCTTATTTATTGATTTCCTCAAAATACTAGAGTCCAGTTGCGGAAGTTTTTCCTTTTTCCCCAATAATACGAAACGCAGCCAAGTGTGTCGGTGGCCTAGAGAAAAATGAATAATCACTGTGGTTGGGGGGGAGGGGGGGTGGAATGACCGCATTGGCTTTTGGCTGAGCTTTCATTGTCGGCTTTTATCATCCCTTTGTGACTCCTGGTCCATAATCACGTAATTAGTACCGGCAAGGAGGGGAGTCATAAATTGTTAGCACATTTGCTGGAAAGGGGATTCGAAATAAGTAGGTCGGTCTCGCGTAATCTGCGCACGTCGATCTTTCAACGTTGTTCTCGTGCTCCTTTGATGGAATATTTCAAGCGGTGCGTTAAAAACATCCGAACAAAAGTGTAATCAGATTTTATCGAGATCACCGTTGGGGGTTGCGTGAACTTGTGGCTGAATTTTTTTTTTTTTATTCATCCCTTGCTTTATTAACTTAAACGATGCCCATGTCCATAATATTATGTACAAGTACAATTACTCTCGTAAGTATAGGAGAATTTACAATTCATAGCGTGAATTTTTGCTGATGAAGCCATGATTTTGCTACAAAATTTGAATAATGAC